TTTCTTTCTTTTTTCTTTCTTTTTTCTTTCTTTCTTTCTTTCTTTTTTCTTTCTTTCTTTCTTTCTTTCTTTCTTTCTTTCTTTCTCTCTCTCTCTCTCTCTCTCTCTCTCTCTCTCTCTCTCTGTCTCTCTCTCTCTTTCTTTCTTTCTTTTAAACAGACGGTATAATCTGAAAATTCCATGGTAAAGAGTGGTAAGGGATTGCTGGAGGTCTGCAAATAGACAAAGTTCAAGCATGACTGCTATGCAGACTTGGTCATTGTGGTCAAAGTAAACACCGTATCTGCATGCTTCTCGCTGCTTTAGGCTGTCTGTGGGGTGCCTCGGAGCAGGTGGGCGTTTGGGCTTAACAAATGTGGCACACATAACTGACTTTCTCCAGATATTTATGTTTCCTTTTAATAATAGGATGTCTCGAGTTTGAACTAGCTGTTTTAGTCCATTTTGTGGTACTATCCTAAGGCTGGGTAACTTATAAATAGTATACATTTTTGGAGTTGGAGAGATGGCTCACTGGTTAAAAGCACTTGTTTCTCTGACAGAAGAAATACCTGGTTTGAGTCCCAGAACACGCATGATGGTTGTGGTGGTTTGAATGAGAAATCCGCCTCCTATAGGCTCATATAATAGTTGCATGCTCAGTCCTCAGTTGAGAAACTGTTTGGGAAGGATTAGGAGGTGTGGCCTTGGAGGAGGTGTGTTGCTGGGGAGTGGGGCTTTGAGGTTTCAAAAAGCCCACACCAGGCCCAGTTCCCCGCCCCCCCCTCATTCTCTCTCTCTCTGCTTGCTGCCTATGGCTCAGGACATAAAGCTCTCAATTACTGCTCCAGCACCCAACATGGGTAGGCCTTCCTGCATACCATCACTCTCCCTGCCATGATGATAATGGACTAACCCTTTGAAGCTATAAGCAAGCCCCCCGATTAAATGCTTTCTTTTATAAGAGTTGCTTTGTCATGGTGCCTCTTCACAGCAACAGAACAATGACTGAGACAGTGGCTCGCAACCATCTGTAACACCAGTTCCAGGAGATCCAATACCCTTTCCTGACTTCTGTGGGCATGCATGTAGTACACATACATAGATGCAGGCAAAACACTCATACACATAAAAATAAATGTTTTTAAAAGAATATAAATGTATATCTTACAGTTCTGATGTCTAGGAGTCCATGAGCAAGGCACCAGCAGATTCAGCACTTGGTGAGAGGCCAGTCTCCACTTCTCCACTTGCTACCCCATTTTCCAGAGGGGAAGCTGTGTCCTCTTGTGGTATAAGAAACACACAGGGCTAAGCAAGGTAAACTCTGTTGGTCAAGGGGGCCCAGAGATGCTCAAAACAAAACAGGCTGTTGTCATCACTCTTGGTCGACTTCCAGAACGTGGTAGTGGAAACACCAGGGACACAGGACGTGGAGGAATCCAGCTGGTGCTGACCAGGTAGCTCCTCCCTGCCGGCTAGCTTTCGAAATGCCAGAAGGTACCGTGTAGGTTGAGGAAGTTGAAAAACAACAGTCTCATCCAACAGTCAATCCTGAGAGTTAAAATAATGTCCAGACTGGCAAGATATGTCCTTTGATACGATAGTGACATTATGTGGGTAACCAACCACTTTTTGATTGGATTTAAGGCTCTATCCATAGGACAGAACTTAAGCCTAGTACTGTAAACTAGGCCAGAGACCCATGGCTGGGGAGGTCATAGACCTTAGGGGAAAACTGACTACTGTTATTTTGCTAAATAGATATAGCACTAAACTACTTTCTAAATGCTTACCTTTTAAACTTAAAAGAAAATTACAGCTGGGGGGTAGGGAGGTTGCGTATCATATACCTTTTGAACCCAGCACTTGAGAAGCAGAGGCAGGCAGATCTTTGAGTGTGAGGCCAGTCTAGTCTACAGAGCAAGTTCCAGGACAGCCAGGGCAGTTACACAGAGCAACCTTGTCAAAAAAAAGAAAAAGAAAGAAAGAAAGAAGGAAGGAAGGAAGGAAGGAAGGAAGGAAGGAAGGAAGGAAGGAAGGAAAGAAAGAGAGAGAAAGAAAGAAAGAAAGAAAGAAAGAAAGAAAGAAAGAAAGAAAGAAAGAAAGAAAGAAAGAAAGAAAGAAAGAAAGAAAGAAAGAAAGAAAGAAAGAAAGAAAATTATTTATTCTTAGGAGGGAAGCATGTGTGTAGGGGTTAGGGGACAGGTTGCAGGAGTCCATTCTTTTTTTGTTCCAGCAATCAAACTCTGGTCATCAGGCATGGCTCAACACATTTATCTGAAGGGAGCAGGCAAAAGTGCCTGAGTACGGTCATTTTGACTTCAGACTACATTTTATCTGTAGGGTGAAATAAAGTTCAGGTTCCCAACCCCTGAGGGAGCTGAGAACTTTCCAATATCTGACCACCCTCCTCTCTAAACCATAGAATAATTGTTATGCATCTTAAGTTCTCTAGAAATATCATGGCTCTCCCTAACAACAGAAGGAACAAAAGAATCTGATTGGTCGGACTGAAAGGCTTGCATCGCATGTCAGTTAACAATGATGGAACACACAAGGCAGCCCCCTAATCCTTGATTTCTGATTGGTGAAAATTGTAACTGTAACTTGGCAACAAACGTTGGCAAATTTTATGCTTATAAACCTCACTTCTGCCCCTGTTCAGGGCTGTCAGGAGAAACAAGGCTCCTCAGTCCTTGTCCTGCAGCCCTGATTGGTCAGTGACCCGCTTATGTGGTGAATTATTAAAATCTTTGGAACTCATTTGTGTTGTCTCTCTCCTTCCTCGCGGTGCATAACGGGCTAGGTGCGACAGATCCTTATGTCCACAGATAAGTAAAATCCTCAGGCCTCATCAGAGAGCTTATTTTGTTGTCGTGGGTCGTTATTCACACAGAGACTCACAACTGGTTGGAATGCAGAGAATAAGCTGACTGGGGAATGCTCAGCCTTAACCGGTTATTCACACGACCCACCCCAGCCCCACAAGGCCCAGGGAACACTTTGGGAGAGGTGGAGAGAAGTTTGTAAGAGGCAGAGGCAAGGAGAACTGCTACAGAAAAAAAAAATCACTGTTTTCTGGATGTGTCAGGACGGTCACACCCACGGACTCACAGCAGATGTGGGTCCCCGGGAAACACCTGCAAGGTCAAACCAGCGACTTTCTAGCGCTGATGGGGGATGGGGCGGGTCTGGGCAACTCCTACTCCTAGCTGAGGATCCAACAGTAGTTGATGGCTTCTAGGAAGGAGACGCTTTTTTTTTTCAGGGACATGGCTCCTGGTAGGGGGCTCATGCCCCACTGGATGACCTTACACTTGTAGGTACATGGGCAGCACTAATTGGATTTAAAAAAAAAAAAAAAGGACTTGTTCGTGGGAATGTGTGGGAGGTGTTAGGGGTGGGGATTGGGGGAAGGATATGATCAAATACATTATATATACCCATGATATTCTCAAAGAATAAGTTAAAAATGAAACATATATATGTATGTGTGTGTGTGTGTGTGTGTGTGTGTGTGTGTGTGTGTGTATTCCTTCTCTTAAGTCCTTTTGTAAAGGCAAGAATCTGTTCCTGTTAAGCCCTCATAACCTAAACACCCCCAAAGCCTGACTTCCCAGCATTATTACCATGATGACTGAATTTTTCTTTCTTTCTTTCTTTCTTTCTTTCTTTCTTTCTTTCTTTCTTTCTTTCTTTCTTTCTTTCTTTCTTTCTTTCTTTCTTTCTGTCTCTCTCTCTCTCTCTCTCTCTCTTTCTCTCTCTTTCTTTCTTTCTTTCTTTCTTTCTTTCTTTCTTTCTTTCTTTCTTTCTTTCTTTCTTTTTCTTCCTTCCTCCCTCCCTCTCTCTCTATCTTTTTTTTGAGACAGGGTTTTTCTCTCTCTCTCTGTGGCTTTGGCTGTCCTGGAACTCGCTCTGTAGACCAGGCTGGCCTCAAACTCACAGAGATCCACCTGCCTCTGCCTCCCTAGTACTAGGGATCAAAGGTGTAAGCCACCACCGCCCAGCAGTGATTGCATTTCAATACATACATTTCAGGAGACATTTTCAGACGACAGTGCTGGTCTTGCCTAGTAAGAAAGTGTATTTGGGATTCTTGGTTTTTGTTTTGGTTTGAGATGGGAGTCTCTTCCTGTAGCTTAGGTTTGCCTCAAGCCTGGTCCTCCTGCCTTGGCCACGCAAGTGCTGGGGTCACAGGTGTACACCACCACACCCAGTTTCAGAGGCTATTTGTGAACTTCTCTTGCCCTTGTGATCCAGCTTCATCCAATGGGACATGAGCTCTGAGGCTAGCAACTCATGAGTCATTCTCCTAAAGATGACACTTGCTTGACCTCAGCAACTATGATAATGAACTATTTAGCCTCAGGGGAGGGATGGGAAGTTTTTATTCTCCCAGACTGATGGGAAATAAAATAATAGCCTCATTGAGTGTAAGTTGTAATCAAATAAAAAAATATTTTGAAAGGATATTTTTTTTTTCAAAGATAGGGATGAAGATCAGCGAGTGGTGCTTGGGTCAAGGACAGTACTTATCCTAGGTAGGGAGGCTCACACCTGCAATCCTAGCTCTCAGGAGGCTGAGCCAGGTGCTACCAAATTAAAGGTCAATTTGGGCTATATACTGAGCCCCTGTCTCAAAAAAAGTATATTATATATATGTGTGTGTGTGTGTGTGTGTGTGTGTGTGTGTGTGTGTGTGTGTAATAAACATATCAAGAGTGAGCACCTGAAGTAAAGAAGAAAATAAAACCATGACAAGAATGTCAAGGAAACAATTATCCTCTCCAGGAGTTTGTCTAATATCAAGAAGAGTGGGTCAGGGGCTATAGCCCAGTGGTTAATAGCACTCAATGCTCTTGCAGAGGGCCAGGGTTTGGTTCCCAGTACCCACAACGTGGCTCACAACCATCCAGTTCTGGGGAATCCGGTGTCCTCTTCTGGCCTCTGTGAGCACTGCATGCAAATGGGGCACATTCCCCGTACATGTAGGCAAACTACACATAAATGTAAAATAAAATAATCTCAAAAAAATATGGGTGGGTAAAATAGCTCATCAGTAAAGGTACTCCTTTACCCACAAGGCTGACAACCTGAGTTGGATCCCTGGAACCCACACGGTAGGAGGGGAGAACTGACTTACAAGTTGCCCTGTGAACTCCGTAGCATGAAGGCAGACATGGTGTTGGAGAAGGAGCCGAGAGTTCTACATCTGTACTGGGCCTGGCTTGAGTGTTGAAATCCCAAATCCCACCTCTAGTGATATACTTCCTCCAACAAGGCCACACTTACTCCAAGGCTACACCCCCTGATCCTTTCAAATAGTGCCATTCCCTATGAGCCTATGGTGGCCATTTTCATTCAAGCCACTACATTAATAGGTAGTTTGCAAAAGGAGAAATAAAATGATCAATAAATATTTGAAAATGTCATAACCTATCAAGGAAGTCCAAATTAAAATTGGTGAGGGTACTGAGCCCACTGAAAAGTTGCCATGAGCAAGGCCCGCCCTCCGGAGCTGAAGAAATTTATGGACAAGAAGTTATCATTGAAGTTAAATGGTGGCCGACATGTACAAGGAATACTACAGGGCTCTGATCCCTTTATGAATCTTGTGATTGATGAGTGTGTAGAAATGGCAATTAGTGGGCAACAGAATAACATTGGCATGGTGGTCATATGAGGAAACAGCATCATCACCATCTCATTAGAAGCCTTGGAAAGAGTCTAAACAATGGCTGTTCAGCAGAAAAGCCCACATCCTTCCCCTAAGGACTGTTTGGGGTATAGAATTGGGTCATGTACGCTTTCATACGAAACTTTTTGCTAAATAAACTTTTGTGATACTCAGGGAAAAAATTGCTGGTGAGGACGTAGAGAAAGAAAAACCCACATACGCTGCTGGTGGGAATGGAAATTGGTATAGTCACTGTGGAAATCAGCATGGAGGTACCTCAAAAACCAAAAACAACAACAACAAAATCTAAAATTACTACATGACTTACCTATACTTCTCCTGGAAATCTACCCAAAGGACTCCAAGGCTGTGTACCACAGAGATAACAGCATCATAATGGGGTGGTGGTGAGGGGGCTACAAAACCCAGCAGAAATCCACGGGGAAGTTGAAGCAGTAAGCTACAGTTCCTGGTTGGTCTTTCACTCCACAGATGAGCACCTGGTGTTTTGTTTCCTCCGAAGGCTTTATTATATCATGAGATAAAGAATGGTAACATCTGTTAGAAATGGTTTAGATTCCAGCCTGTTCTCAAGGCCACAATGTTTTTAACACCCTTATCTATCTCCCGGTTACAGACTTAAGTGGCCAGTCTGCCCCAGGACAGGGAGGTTGGGAGGGCCATGAAGACAAACATGCCCAGATCTGAAATGGGGGTGGAAGGGCAACCCCACTTCCAGAGCCAGCTTCTCGGCGACTTCAAAGAGCACATGACCATTACCTGTATAGTTTACACTATGGTTGCTATGGTAGTTCTGAGAACCAATTAGAGCCAAGGTCAGGAGTCAGGAAGTCCCAGCACGCTTGCAGTCCACTGTCGTCTGGAAAAGAAAAGAATGAACAAAAACATTTTCTTCAAGTTTGAGTTGGTTTCTTAGGTAGTTTTCAGGGAACACAGGCGTGGAAAGCCCCAAGGATGGTGTCATTCATCAGATTCTCCCCAAACTTCAGTGAGCTTATGTTTCTAAAGTTGCTGAGCCTTGGTTTGTCAATGAAATGGATGAAACTGGAATAAGGATACTGACTTAATGATTATGAAGAGTAAGTGTGTGATAGATTAAACTATTGACTCCAGCCTGTTACCCTTTCATATGTGTATAATCCTTGCCTATAATTTTTTAGCTCACTAAATAGGTAAAGTATGCTTTCTTCCCTCTTTAATTTAGGTCTGGCCACGTGACTTGATTTGGCCTCTAGGAGGTCACAGAAGTAGTGCTGGGCCATTTTTTAGCAGAGGTGTCAAGGAGCCCTATGTGTTTCTAGCCTCATTCTTGTGCCTCTGTCTTCCCACAAAAAGAATGTATTCCACATAGATCATTGGCTCCAAGAAGAGACATACCAAGTTTGTCTGTATTAGTTGAGATGCCCAGCCGAACCCAGTCTACAGCAGAGTTCCCAGCCAACTTAGACATGTGACCAGTTCCCAGTAGACCACAGACACGTGAACTATTAGGAAGGGAGGAAGGAAGGGAGGGAGGGAGGGAGGAAGGGAGGGAGGGAGAAAGAAAGAGAGAAAGGAAAGAAGAAAGAAGGAAAGAGAGAGGAAGGCAGGGAAGGAAGGTGAGGGAGTAAGGAAGGAGGAGGAGGAGAAAAAAGGGGAAGGGAAGGAGAAGGGAAGGGAAAAGGGAAGGGAAGGGAAGAG